ATCGTCGTTGTCGTTATCGTTATTATCGTCGTTATCGTCGTCATTGTTATCGTCATCGTCGTCATCGTCGTCATTAATTAATATTATTGTCCTTTCAATTTAGCAAGAGAAAACCATTTTCCAAGATCGAACTTAATAAAGGAAGATCAAATCTAAGAGGAAAATGCGAGAGAAAAAGCGATTACAAGGCGAAGAACGAGACTCGCTGGAGATTTTATCGCAAAATAAATCACATATCCCGATAATCGAGATGCTTACGTAAATTCGGAATGAAATAAATGCAGATATGCGCAATATCGCGCAGCATATATTAATTTGTAAAGAAAATGTTCCCAGACAGGATAAACTTATAGAAGATATCTTAAAAACATCCTCTATAGACGTTCTATTATTTTTTAACATTTTTAAATGTCTTTAAGACATCTTTTAGAAGTATACGTTGTCTAAGTTAAAGTACTCAACTTCTTAATATTTTGCTTTCATCAAATTTTAATTATAAAATTATTTAATATAATAAGCTAAAAGCTATCAACTAATTATATTTAATAGGGAAAATCAGACTTATTCACCATTGGATTTATCACTTCTGGACTTTTTCTATAAAGACATTTAAGAGACAGAATGTACTCACATTCAATTAATAATATACAGAACATTCAACACACATGTTTTATCAGATATATCAAAAATTATTGTGCAGCAAATTAAAGATGTAATAACATCGAAACAAGAATAAAATTTGTTAAATTATGTTAAACTATTCGAACATCTCTTAGAACATAATCACAACAGAAGTGAAAATGTTGAAAAATACAAATTATGTTTTTCAAAATTCAATTTAAAATATTACTCTTGAGCTAGTCATTTTTTCTTAAAACAATACTTTCTTTCAGGAAATAAAAATTGTATCGAATAGCGCTTTAAAAAACATTTTTATGAAAAAATGCAGCTATATTTTACAATTATATACATATACATAAATAATAGTGACACATGACATTAAAATATCTAATATCAGTCAAAATTTTGCTTCATCACATTTTCTCATATTTCAAACTGTTTTCTGGCGATAACCTCTATAACCCGGTATATAACCTATCAAAGTTCCGAGACACTGTATGTAATAAAGTAATATAAATAAAGCAATATGTGTGAAAATATTGCTCGTGACTGTGTTTTCAAATATTATACGGTATCTTGCGTTATCGAAGAATTGCATAAACTGTCTAGTAAGCAAAATATCATTGATAATTGCAACGGTAATTAATAGCATATAATGTTTTTAATATATTTTTAATGTTATATATATATATATATATATATATATATATATATATATATATATATGTGTGTGTGTGTGTGTGTGTCAACATCATGACTAATAACTTCTGCATTTTAATATTTCTAAAACATTTTGGCAATATTCAAAGAGAGGTCATATGATCTGATAATATCCTTGAAATATGTTGATAATATTAAGTGAAAACGTTAAAAAAATATACATAATTTCAACATTGCAAAATGCTGATCTAATGTTCCTTATTTACTTATAAGAATCATAATCGTTATTGTATTAAATATACATAAAATTATATATTGTACATTAAATACACATAATCGTTATTGTATATTAAATATACAAAATACGAAATATTAAATATACAAAATACGAAATATTCTTTCCTTGATTTCACTTTTTTCCGTAAAATGCAAAAACAAGGAGAATAAACAAGGAATGTATATCGATTTATGTATAAAAATTTTAACGTTAACTGATAAGTCGTTCTCGCATTATTTCGAGGTGTGTTATGCAAATTTATCGCATAATGTTAATCGAGGTGTGGTAAAGCTGCATGCGGAATGTTGATTATTTACAAAGATCGCAGATGCGATACTGCAGGCAGCGCAACCGATACGCGGATATATGGCAAGTGATTGTAATCAAAATCGTGTAATCTGTTTCCAACTGCCATGATTTACCGTAATATGTATAATGTTGAAAGAAGTGTGTATACTCATATGTCGATACTTGTAATGCATCAAAGATTTCATCTCTTCCGTGTCCTCTTACATAAGTCACAGTTCACAACAAACATTGAAAATATCTTCTCTTTAACTAAATACAGGTAATGACATGACAATTGCTGTATTCTTTCAAATATTCCAAGAGAATTACGCAAATGGTTAGATGAAAATGCGTTATAAATATGTTGGTGAGCCGTTTTTATTTTTAATTCAAACTAAATTCATAAGTGATTTTAAGTTTTTCAAAAATATAAAAATTGAAATCAGGGGAACTTTTATTGTGAACTGTTGTTTGATATTGGTAAGATTTCGTCAATTCAATATTTTCTTGTTGAATCTAATTTTTCAATAATAACTTCAATTTTATTCATTTTTGGGCAATAATTTATATAAAATCTTTTTCGTAATTTATTGCGATATGAAGAATTAAAAATGCAAAGCATAAACTCCAGAAATTTGTCCAAGGAATTTAGAAGTAGTCTGTATTTTATCGCAAAAAGCTATACTTTTATAAAAACTACCACTAATAATTATCTTCTCCAGATATCAAAAAGTGTTCAAGTTTGAAATTAATTTATATAATTAAATATAATTGTTGTTGCTTTTCAAATACCAAGACTAACTGATAATTAAAATCGTTACTAAAAATGAACTGATTATTCAAAAAACTAATACATGAAAGTAATTTATGCGACAATTATATAATTTTAATCGCTCCTGGGTTTCTTCGTGTGAAAAAATAACAATGCCACTAATGTCGTTATATATATATATATATATATATATATATATATATATATATATAT